ATAGAGGGGCATACTGAAAAAATTGATGGTTTTTTTTTATTTTTTAGCCAGCACTAGATCTATAGTTTAAGGGTAAAAATAAGTAAAAGTAGTCCAAGTTTATGTGATGAAATCAAAAGTGTATATTGTATATGGACACCATTAATCTGAGAGGGCTTAGCCACCTCATAGCCACTGTAGTTATGTATGGTCGTTAGAAAAAGGTTGCATCTCCTACTCTAGATAAACCTGCATAACAATACATATTATCATTTATGTTAGATAAGCAAGATTAATTAATTTTTTCTTTCATATTTTTAATATTAACTGTAATTATTTTATAGTTTATATTTCATTTATGATTAGTTTTGTAAGAGTTCAAAAACTCTTACAAAACTAATCATAAAATACATGAGATATTTTTTTAAACTAAAGAAAAAATATTAAATTTTTAAATTATATTGTTGTTATTTTTGATGTTGTATAATATTATTATTCTTATATTTTCTTACACAACAAAAACACACTGAAATCAAAAATATCAAATTAAATCAAATTTATTAATCATAATAGGCCATAACCTGTTATAACAGTTTTTCCAGCAATGGAGTTATAGAAACACCAAACCTGTTATAACAGGGTGTTAGACTTACATTATATCCAAATTTAATTATATCCACATAAACCGGCCTTATAGATGGAATGGCATAGGCGTGCGGGGCGTATGGCCATTCCATCTATAAGGCCAGCTCATTGGACGCCTAACATTCAAAAACTTCGCTCTCTTGGAGTATATAGCCTATATGTGCTGAACACTCCATATTAACCACAGAACAAGGAAAGGAAAGGAACATAAACAACAATCATGTAAAACAGTGCCCTAAAATTACAATAGCTATATGTATCAGATTTGTTACATATAAAATTAGAGAGGCTGTTTACAAAAATTTTTTGTGAAATTATACAATTGGTATATTACTGTAGTGTTTGCTAAATGAAATAACTGATACATTTGGTTTTCCTCAAAGGTTTTTAGTTGATTTAGCTCACCATTAACCCTTAGTTTCAGACATTCCTTGCACTCACAAAACATATGAAGTTTAGTCAATATTTCTTTGCATCTTGGACAGTATGTTTTTGAGAATTCATAAATTTTATTAACCATAATCATCTTTTTATTTAATCTAAGTTGGATATGATATGATATGCTTAAAAGTGTTAGAAGGCTGAACCTTACGGCATAGCCTTTGAAAAGGAAGGATGAAGAGTTTTAAAGGAAGTGAGAAGAGGGAAGAAAAGTAAGGAATGATAGGAAAGTGTGAAGTGAAATCTAAGTTGGATAAAAAATTTCTTTATTGCAAACGGCATATTTGATAACATGTAGTTATTATTAAAAGGATAATCCAGAATAATGCTGTACCACTCTGGTTCTTTCTGGTTGTACATTTTTCTCCAATGTCTTGAGATAGAGAAATTTCCAATGTATTTTGGATTAGTTGAGTTTTAATCAGGTCACTAGTTTCTGATTTTACCAACAGTGGAGTTATAGAAACACCAAAGTCGTCGTCAATATTTGTCATTTGGTTCACCGAAGAACTTTTCTGCAGATTTTGACAAGATTTTTGCCATAACAAGAACAACAGTTTAGAAGGTAAATTTCCATTAACTCTAATCATGAAAAGAAAGTTAATGAACCTTTTTACAAAGAAGGGACCATTAGTTTGAATCTATTAAGTTCTAGTCTGAGGGCATATTCAGGAATGTTATATTCTAGAGAGAAATTTTGTGATGAATTTATTTTGAATTATGTCAAGAAATCAAAAATATCCAATAAGAAAAAACTTTAATAAATTAAATGAATGTTTTTGATGGTTTAAAACCATCAAAAATGTTTATTAATTTATTAGAGTTTGTTCTTATTGATTGGATATTTTTGATTTTAGTGTGTTTATTTTGACAGTATTATGTCCAGTTCTGTGAGTGGTGTCATACTTATACAACACTAAACATGATGAAAATAATATAAATTTTCATAAATACCAATACCCAGTTTTTTTATTTGACATGAACTAAAATATTTCTCAAATCTAAGATATTACTGAAATGCTGAGTATTATCTGATTAATGTTATGAAATTGAAAATTACAGTTTCTTTTATAAAGATTGAATTCTTAAGCTCTGAAAATTTCTTTTTTTTCTGTACCTAGAGATGAAATTGTTTTTAACTCAGACTACAACAGGAACTTGTATAGTAAAACCAGTCAAACATCTTTTCCTTTGGCAGATTGTCTCAAATGGATTAAGCCAACTTTGGACAATTTTGTGTTTAAACTGCTAAACTGTATTAAATCTTCTGAAACTGTTTTGTCTTAATTTCTTTGATTCACTAACATAAGGTGTGTTTCTATTTCAACACTTGGCAGTATTCCATCTTTATTTAGTTGAACTCAACTAAATAAAGATAAATAAAAACTGTTGAAATAGAAACACACCTTCTGTTAGTGAATCAAAAAAACTAAACTGTATTGTCAAATTATGAATAGTAGTAGTATAATCTTAAATGAGTTTTATCTACTGATATTTGATATTTCTAACAAGATATAAATATACATAATCTGATAACAATTCAAAACTGACAAAAAACTTTTTAATGAGAACATCATATTTGAATATTGTAAAATAGGTCTTTCAGATGGCACTTGTTATGCATGATATACAGGGTGAGCCAATGGAAAAGTAATCAGCCTGAAATGATACTGTGACAGGAAGAACAAGCAAGTGGATTGTTTTTCCAAAGCATTATTGATTTACTTATATATTACAACAGATGCTGGAAGTGGTTCCCGATCATATCTATGTACCTCTGGGCATGTTGCAGCATGTTTGCTGATAATGCCTACAGCTCTTCAGTGGTGATGCTGCAGATAGTGTTCATGATGTTTTCCTTGAATTCATCCTGGGTATGCAGCATGTGGATTATTGGTGTACACTTTGAACTTTAAATGTCTCCACAAATAAAAATGCATGTGGACAAGTCCAGGAAATGTGATGGCTATCACCCTTACTGACACTTTACTGGTTTGTAAACTGTTCATGAACCTGCTCCAATGAGTCACAGGAGGTGTGGCATGTTGCCCCATATTGTTGAAAAAGCAGTACATCCTTTCTTCTGGTGTTTGTTAGTCATAAAATGTTTAAAAATTTCTACATAAATTGCAGTATTCACAGTTGATATGAAGAAAATTGGGCCCACTATTTGTGTTCCTGATATTGTCACCAACTACCAATTTTCTACTCATGCAGTGGTGTTTTGTGAGTCAGGTGGGAATTTTCAATAGATCAATACCTTGTATTCTGTGCATTCATGTGACCTGATCATTTGGTGCTTCATCAGTCATAAAGTACTTTCCAGAAAGTTCCAAAAGTCCTTCAATAATTGCAATCAACAACCATGTACAGCTTTAGTTTTGTTGGGCTTTTTCAGTTTCTGCACATGTTATTTGGTATGATTTGAGGTTCAGAGATTTCAACACTTGCTGAACAACTTACTGGAACAGTCTCCGAGTTGATTTTCCATGGCTATTTGCAATCTGCTGCTGAATGACATGAATAATTTTGATGTCTGAATTGATGGAGGCCTTGATTTCCTCCTCTTTGTGACAGAGCTGATTTGGTGCTATTTCTGAATCAGGCTTTAAATACAATGTTTAGCTGGTGATTTTGTTTCTGGGTACTTGTCAGTGAAGGCCTCTTGCATTTCCTTAATTGATCTGCTCTGTACACAGCCTTCCACAGTCACTATTCCTGTTTCATGGAGAATACCATCTTTCCCATGTAATATGTATAGAAAGAATGAATAGCAAGTCAAAAAAAAGTTAAATAAATACTTTCTTACTGGAACTACAATATAAGTATAAGTAAAAACAAAATCTTTAAACAATCCAGCAAATCGTTTTTAATATCTTAAAAACACTTTCGAATGCTTTAAGCAATCATCCTCAGTTATCATTTTGAATTGAATGAAGAATTCGAAATTATGTAAAATAATAATTCAAAAAGCGGTTATACAAATTTACGTTAAGATTTAACAAGCTTAAATAATCGCAAAGATTATACAAGTTAATTAAAACAAAATAAAGAACTAAAATAAAATATATACAGCCAATAAAAATTATCTTAATTAACTTTCCCACTTGTTAGCTAAAATTAACAACTCTAGGAAATACCACAACCAGATCTTGGAATTGGCAGATTTAATTTGCCACACATCTTTCTTTCACTTTGAAGATAAAACTTACCTGCAGGCACGGGGCGTACTGATGGGTAGCCCCATGTCAGCTATACTCTGCAAATTAGTGTTGCGTAAACTCGAAAATCACATACTCCCCTCATTCCAGGAAGACATATTGTCCTATGCAAGATATGTTGTTGATATCTTTATTTTGTGGAAAGATAATTGCAGAGTTAACCAGTTTATAGATCTGATTAATGACGACCCGTATGGATAACTCTGGAGCTGGAGCAGAAAAATGGAAACACAGTTAATTTTTTGGATGTATCTATAACTTACAAAGAAGGGGAAATCAAAACAGATATATACCAGAAACCCAGTTATCTTCCTATTATCATTCCTAGGAACTCCGCAGACCCTGAGCATATAAAAATGGCGGTTTTTCGGTCATGGATAAGGAGGGCACACATGCATTGCACCAGCATCTGTGACACTTACAGAGTTGGAATATATCTGAAACAGTGATACAGCAAGGATACTGTAGAGAAAGAATAGATACTCTCATTGTGAATTGGCAGAAGCGACACCCCTCGCAGGGAGGGAATTAGCATAAGGAGAGAGTCGTGCTCAATTACATACCATTCCTCAAAGGAATGGTTAAGAAAGTTACCAAAAATAAGAATACACAGATAGTTTACAGGCGTAATCCCATCCGTATCTGTATATATACATATTTTTATTATATTTTTAATCTAATTTTTCGTTAATTTATAAATTCTTATTTAACTAGGAAAAAACAAGATGAAGTAAGACTTCTGGAAACATCAATTCAAAAAAGAAGCCAGGAAAAACAAAAGATTGGTCCCGAACAGTTAGATGCCACATGCCAAATATGTTTAAAAACAAAATTTGCTGATGGTATTGGACATATCTGTAATTATTGCCAAGTGCGTTGTTGTGCCAGATGTGGTGGAAAAGTAACTTTAAGATCTAATAAGGTCAGTACTAAAATTAATGTAAAAGTTTGAATATATTTAGAAGAAAAAATATTGGAATCTGAAAAAATACTGTTTAATAGAATATATGTAGTTTATTAAAAAGTTTTCTTCTATCTTCTTTTGAAGGGGTTATGAAATTTATTGAAATTAATGTTTTTTCTTTAATTTGAATAATAATTCTTTAATAATAATTTCTTTAATAATGTTATTTCTAGTATATTATGTAATTAATGATGATGGAATATAAAAGAGATCATGTTTACTATATTCATTAAAATTAAAACATTAACAATATTCATGAAATACAAAAACTCTTTAAAATACAAATAAAAGACAGGCTAAACAGAAAATTTCCTATAAGAAGAATTGATAAGCATTAATAACATCACTATACCATAGCACAAACTCTGTAAGCCTGGAATATATTATCATAAAAATAGCAACCAACTGAACCTTAAAAGAAATTCCAGTATATTCTATTGTAAACTCTAACGCTTTCGATCTGCACAGGAGATCTTCCTCAGGATATAACGTTTTCCAAATTGGAATGTGGAAATGGAATGTTTTTAAGAATTATTTGAAAAAAACGTATAAACGAGAATTTTTTTAAAGAATTCTTTCAAATTTCATGCATTAACTAAATGTGCTTTTACCCAACTGCACAAATTACAAAGACACGTTAAAAGAGCTTAAATGTTTGGCAGACATAGCTAAAAATCATGGTTACAAAAAACACCTTATTTGTAAATTAGTGAATGCCTATTCCAACAGGCATTCGCTAAACAGGCATGATATATAATTATTGACTGTAGGAGTACCTCCTACAGCCCAATAATGATATATCGTGGAGTGGGAATGCTCACAACATGCACTGCATAGTTCTAGATTAAAACCACATGAAAAGCTTGTATAAAGAAATTGCCCGGCACAGAGGTAATAAATTAGCATATAGGCTTGCAGGGACGGACTGGCCCTAAAATTTTTGTGTGGAAAATTTGTTACCGGCCCAGCCCATAAATAAAAAAAAAATGTATTTTTTTCTATTTATATTTAAATATATTCAAAATACAACATTGACAAAAATTACAATAAGCACGAGTCTAGAACATTAATTTTTCATTTAGAAGTTTGCTTTGTTGAGCAATAATATTAATGACATCATCAGAATGTATTTCGTTTAAAATATCCTTCTCCACCCATATTAACATGAAGCTTCTAGATTTTCTTGCGAGATACTTATAAGTATCTTAGCCTGCTTTTAATTAATTTTAACATAGAAAAGCTTTGTTCACAGGCGCTTGTGTTACAGACATAGATAGTAGATATTTGTATGCTTAACCAAGTATAGAATAAGCACCACTTAACATGTTATATCTGAAAAATATATTATAACAACAAATAGGGCAATTTTTTCAAGCAATGCAGTAAGAGGATAAAATGGCATCTTTATTAGTGATGTAACGAATATTCGGTTACTGTTTGGTATTTGGCCGAATAGCGAAAAATAGGCCGAATACCGAATATTTAATCACTATTTGGCCGAATACTGAATACCTAAAAACAGAGTAAAAAATAACAAAAACACAGTAAATTAATCATTTTGGTATTTAGATTTAATGTTATCAGATTAGTGTTGTTTGTTTATATTTATTTATAACTTATAACATGCACAAAATAAAAAAGAAAATAATATTAGTCACATGTATTTACAATTTATAATTACAAATATCAGCACATGTAAACACCTATTCATTCGAGAATCGTCGCACACATCTGCGGGTCTGACCCTGTCTATCCTTTTTAAGCGCTTGTCTTTGCTGTTTCCTTTCTCTTTCCTCTATCTCTCTAGTCCACATATGCCTATGCATACATCATAATATGCGCTCACAATACTTTTGATTCATCACTTTTCCATCGTAGTTTTTCCATTTTATAATTACCTGACTCATAGCCTGGTGATAACAGAGAAAAGAGACAGATAGGACATTGGTATATGTTGCAGTTATAATTTCACAGATTCAAGACAGCTTGACAGCCCGAATGGTCCCAGGCTTTTGCCCATGCACGTTAAGTGACTTTCATTACAAGCATTTAGCTTTCCAAAGTCTATGACAACAATTGTTTGGCATTGACAGCCGCAAATTTTGCACCAATAAGCTACTTTGACTTGTTCGATTATGTTATCAACTCAATTTCATATTTATTTTCACATTTTCACTTCAGGGTCTTTCTCTGTTTTTTTTCCGTTATTTACACATGCAGGTAATTTCATTGTTATGCACATTTGATATCATCATTTTTCACCTACTGCCATGACGCTCTTGTCTGTCCGCTACAACTGTCAAGAAGTAATGCGATTTGCGAAGCGTAGTGACAGCGGGTCAATGGAGAGCAGGGTCCTTGCCATAATGCAGTTTGCGCGCCAATTTTTGTACATGCGTTAATCAAGCTGAATAGTTTGGCCGAATAGCCAAATATTTGGCCTGAGGCCGAATATACTATTCGTTGCAACACTAATCTTTATTAGTTTCTACTTGATCATCAGTAGAATGTTCATTTTTGTTTAATTTTATAAAAGTTTCACTGACATTTTCCTTTAAAATATTTCATGATGATTTAAAATGTTGCAATTCTGAAATAATATTGTGTTGAGTTGATACTGGATTAAACTGTATTAAAATACTGCTTAATTTTTGAAATGCGTTTTCAGGAATATTTGGTGACAGTCCCATAAATTTTGGTCTAATGTGCTTTGAACTTGGTGTAAGATGACTGTCGAACTCTCCCCGGTTGTTCTCTCTCCCACCTTCCTTCCACGATCTATGATTGAGGATGTGTGAATTTGGTCCGAGAATGTGATAATTAGATCGTCTTACACTCATTCCTGTTTACAAAATAAATCACTGATTTATAAGCTTTAGCTCGACAACCAGTTTCCCATTGGAGAGGGGTGAGGCTCCAGCCTCACACTACAAAATAGATTATTTTTAATTAAATCGTTTGGAATATAGAGAAATTATTATTGAATAATATTTTTTACTTACCTAAAATAAAGGAAATAATATAAGTGGCCATTAAATTTATTATGACTACAATCATCGTTTTGGTGACTAGGTACAAAACTTATAACTTGTGTTTCCATAGTTTAGCATTAAGATTCATAGTAGTGGTGAATAGTTTCTAGCAATGTAAACAAATGACCAATTTTCTCTGTTTAGAAGGTAGTTTTGATTATTTTTCTCCTGGGATGCTTTCTGTTTGGGTCAAATTGTGTTTGACTCAGGTCGGCCAAACTAATTTAACTTCAGATATGGGTAGGGCCGGGTAAAATGATACAGACCTACACATATATCTATATTACACCAAAAAATTGAAATTTGCCTTACTTAACAAAAAAAAATAAATGAATTTTTTAAAATTAAACTTAACCAAACAGTACATTATGTACACATTTAGAAAAAATGGCTCAAATTGTATACGGCCCATGTGGAATTTTCCACACTTTCCACATAGCCAGTCTGCCCCTATAGGCATGTTCCCACTATCTATAACATCCTCAGAAATGGAAAGGACAACACTGACATGATTAGGGTTCCATGAATTTATAAGATTATACTGAGAGACAATAGATTCAAATGTGTTCTTGAGTACATCAGCACCACAACATGATCACTCAAAGTAAGGCTGTCAGAACACAAATATGATATTAATAAAAGAAATAACAATACCGCCCTAGCCAGGTATGCTGCAGACAATGATGTTTAAGCCCATCTAGACGAAGCTTCCATCATACGATGATCTAAGCAGGATGACCAAATAAGGTCACTGGAAGCTCTCAAAATATTCAAATTGGAAAAGAGTGGCCATTGCATTAATTTCAAAGAGGAAGGACAATTGTTTTATGCTCGGCAATCCTTATACCAAATGGAACAGTCAATTTTAAAAAATTATTTTGAAGAGATTTTTATTCGATTTAATCAATTTAAATTATTTTAAAAAATTTTTGAGAGAATTCTTTAAAAAAATTCTCGTTTATACATTTTTTCAAATAATTCTTAAAAATGTTTCATTTTTGCATTTCAATTTGGAGAATGCTATATCCTGAGGAAGATCTCCTGTGAAGATTGAAAACATTAGAGTTTACAATAGAATATCCTGGAATTTCTTTTAAGATTCAGTTGGTTGCTATTTTTATCACTATACTATATATATTATTTTAAAAATAAATATGAATTTGAGTAGTTATTTCTGTAATTTGGTTTTAAGATAAAACAATTTCTTTCTAAAGTAAATATTATAACTTTATTTAATTTTAATAATAGAAATTTTTTTCAATTTGATATTTCTAACAAGATATAAATATACATAATCTGATAACAATTCAAAACTGACAAAAAACTTTTTAATGAGAACATCATATTTGAATATTGTAAAATAGGTCTTTCAGATGGCACTTGTTATGCATGATATACAGGGTGAGCCAATGGAAAAGTAATCAGCCTGAAATGATACTGTGACAGGAAGAACAAGCAAGTGGATTGTTTTTCCAAAGCATTATTGATTTACTTATATATTACAACAGATGCTGGAAGTGGTTCCCGATCATATCTATGTACCTCTGGGCATGTTGCAGCATGTTTGCTGATAATGCCTACAGCTCTTCAGTGGTGATGCTGCAGATAGTGTTCATGATGTTTTCCTTGAATTCATCCTGGGTATGCAGCATGTGGATTATTGGTGTACACTTTGAACTTTAAATGTCTCCACAAATAAAAATGCATGTGGACAAGTCCAGGAAATGTGATGGCTATCACCCTTACTGACACTTTACTGGTTTGTAAACTGTTCATGAACCTGCTCCAATGAGTCACAGGAGGTGTGGCATGTTGCCCCATATTGTTGAAAAAGCAGTACATCCTTTCTTCTGGTGTTTGTTAGTCATAAAATGTTTAAAAATTTCTACATAAATTGCAGTATTCACAGTTGATATGAAGAAAATTGGGCCCACTATTTGTGTTCCTGATATTGTCACCAACTACCAATTTTCTACTCATGCAGTGGTGTTTTGTGAGTCAGGTGGGAATTTTCAATAGATCAATACCTTGTATTCTGTGCATTCATGTGACCTGATCATTTGGTGCTTCATCAGTCATAAAGTACTTTCCAGAAAGTTCCAAAAGTCCTTCAATAATTGCAATCAACAACCATGTACAGCTTTAGTTTTGTTGGGCTTTTTCAGTTTCTGCACATGTTATTTGGTATGATTTGAGGTTCAGAGATTTCAACACTTGCTGAACAACTTACTGGAACAGTCTCCGAGTTGATTTTCCATGGCTATTTGCAATCTGCTGCTGAATGACATGAATAATTTTGATGTCTGAATTGATGGAGGCCTTGATTTCCTCCTCTTTGTGACAGAGCTGATTTGGTGCTATTTCTGAATCAGGCTTTAAATACAATGTTTAGCTGGTGATTTTGTTTCTGNCGCTAACAGACTACCTATTGTTTAAAAGGCCCTCTGGTGGCTCAAGAAGACGGATTTTATAAAATAAAAAGCAGTTGAAACTGCATTTTTATGAATAAAAATTTGACAAATTATTTATCGTTTTATGACGAATAAAATTTTTTCGTCACGTTCGCAGCTTTTAAGTAATGCATAAACCTTCGAAACGCGAGACCCTTTGGACCACCAGGCATAGGCGGTGGCCCACGTTGCCCATGCCTTATGCCTCCCTTGGTCATAGAAATGATGTAATTTGAATATAAATTATTTATAAATACGTATGTCAAGTTATATTTTTATTACGACACAAAATATATTTAAGAGTTTACGACCACTGTGCTGGGTGAGACATTGTTGAAACAAAAAATGTTATGCATTCCATCTCGTACATAAACAGTGTCGTAATTTGCCAAGTGCAAATCAGCAAATTCGTAAAATTTTTGTTTATTTTGAACAATCCGAAAAATCGAAAATCCAGATAATAGAGGTCTGGATAATCGAGGTTCTACTGTATATAAAACATTTGATTGTTTTATTTAATAATACTAATGACAAAATTTGATTACTTCCAAACATCTACATTTCTAGCCTGATAGAAATGTAGTGTATATGTTTAGCTCCACCCATATCTGTAAATACTAGTTCAAAGAGACCAATACACAATGCAACTACTCAAAATAGGCATAAGCTGGTATAGTCTACATTCAGGAAATCACAGTTTATACATTTTATTGGAACAAAATATTAATACAGTAGGGTCTCACCATATATGACCAATATCTTCCACGACCCCTTGTATAGCCAGAAATTTGCATAAAATAGTGAACCCAATTAATTACATTATTTACCCAATTAATTACCCAATGTATTAGGTATTTCTTTATTAGCATATTTATCAAACACTTTTTTTTTGTAAATAAAGCAAATAAATACTGTATTAAAAATAAATAAATAGCATAATACTGTAATTATAAAAATAACTTTAAAAATTTGCATACTCTCTCTTTCTGTTTTATGTGCCACTGAAACACTTTCACACGTCTTTTCTTCCCCAGTAAGTATGGTGGATATGGAAGATTTATTTTTCCTAACATTCTTGCAACCTCAGAAGGAAACTCTCTTTTCTAACTAAATGGTTGATGTGAGTTGCATATTTTATATACTGTACAACCTGGTGCATTGTGCAGTCAAGTTTTCTAACTAAATCATAATTTTAATTTTTCTTGTAAAGTAAGCATTTTACATCCTCTCATTGGCTTATCAGAGACTACTATTGTGTTTTGGAGTCATATTTGTAATTAAATGTAATTACAAACATGAAACAAAGAGAAGCATGGATGTGAAGCATTACAATGAGAATTTCAGACAGATAGATACTGGTTCCAGTGTATAGTGCAAAACAAAGAAATGAGTTTTAATAATTCTTTCTCAGAATGAGAGTGAGTGTGACTGAGAGAGATGCTGCAAAGCTTCATATACTGTGGAAAATGGTGTAGATTTAGCACACAATTAAGAATATTTATTTTACATATTTTCCATTTTTTTTTTAATTTTTATTTGGATTGCATTTCAGATTTGATAGTGTAAACCTGAAACTGCATGTGATGAGTCTACATAGGACAAGGTCCTACTATACTGTAATATTATTATTAAAGATATAATAACACTGATTATTGGTATTAGTGTTGAATTTTATCAATTAAATTTTAATAATTGTATCTGCCAATATAATCAAATAATTGATTAATATTAAATATTAAAATATAAATCTAAAAAAATTAAATATTCAAGAGTGAATCAATGATAATTTTAAGATTTTAATATTATTTTGTAATAAAATTAAAAATCAAAATATTTTAAAATAAATATATAAAATATTTAAAATTTTTGAAATATAACTGAAATGAATGTTGTTTGAAATCTAGAGTTTCAGCATTTTTGGAACTTCAATGGAAAATAACATAAAAATTTGAAACAAGTTCAAATTTTCAAATGTGCACATTTGTGCATGTAAGCATAATAATCACAGATATGTTTTAGTTCACTGTCTTCTATTGTTACATGCTGACGTTGTCCATAATCAGGGGTCTAAATTGTTCTCTTCCAATTTCTGGTTCAGAAGATTCTTAGAGATTACTATTATGAGAGCTTCTGCACTGCAGAAGCTTTCATAATAGCAACCACTAAGAACATCTTGAACTATTTGAGTCTTTATCACCACACTTTTGTTTTGTATAAGTTCTGCCAGTGCTGTGCCACTCTTCCTGATAAGCACCTCCTTTTGCTCTTTTAGTCTATCAGAAAATCTGCAAAAGGTGACTAACATACCACTTTATTTATATTCAGCAGTATGGCCCAGGCATATGAGTATGTTTTTTTTTTTTTTAGTGGAACCTTTCTATTCTTAACTAAATCAAACACCATAAAGGGCTGTAATGTGATGATTCTCATTGTCTGATGATCAGCAAATAACAGTCTTGCTATTCTGCTGACAGTCCTATATATCTGCAATATATATATATATATATATATAAAGTTATATATACTGGAAACAAACCATTACATAACTTAGTAACTGTGCACAGAAACATTTACATTGAAATATGGATGGACAAATACTGAGTAATTCAGATATTGCTGTTTCTTAATACTGAATATGCAATATTTTTGTTTTTCTGACTACTCAGTACCAAAAATCTGGCTGAATACTAACTGATTTATTTGTAATTGCCTGAAGCAGAAGGCTTAGACTCTAAGCCTTAGAAAATAGGAAAGAGGATAGTGTCTTTTATTCAATAATAAAAGACACTATCCTCTTTCCTATAATAATAAATGATATATGTTGTTATTTTTAAAACATTACTATGTAATGAAAAATAAAAAGTTAAATCTTTCCATTCAGGTCTTTTTTATTCTGTGAAAGCAGGAAGTATTTATGATGTCCAAAAAAAATTTGCTTATTTCCTATGAATACAGAAGCATTAATATTATAATTTATCTCGTAAATTGTGATTATTAATAAATAATATTTGCTCATAATCATTTATTAATGTTATATTTGTTTTGGAAAAGTATAAATAATGATATTTTTAAATGTTGCTTTAATTTTATTTTGTGTTTTATATTTTTTCTTCCCTTCCTTTTTTCTCTTTTTCTCTCCCCAAACTAAAATGAAATTATTTGGCCAAATAGTTTAGCTTTGAGAAAGAATTCACTTTGAATATTGAATATGTGTGTTTAGTATTTGACTAAATATCAAATACTTTGTGGTCAAATATGTCCAAATACCAAATAATGCCAAATATCTGGTCCAACACTATAGTGAAATGCACAATTCAAAATCTGTATTGAGCAATGATACAGGCACTGGGATAATACCTTGTATGAGATAATATTACTGATTTCTAAGATTATGCTTGTACTGTTGACAAAAAAATTAGAAAAAAATTTTAAAATTTATCTTACTGTCAATTTAAATTTCTAAATAAACAAATTTTTAAATTAGAATTTAAAATGAAAAAACAGAAAATTTTTTGATGTTCTTTTCAACCAATGTTTTATCTTAGAGGAATCATAAGATAATAGTCATCAATTTGAATCACTTTAAGGCCTATTTTTCCTTTCACAAAACAGATGTTTTATTTTTTAGCTTTTAGTTAAAAGTTGATTTATGTTGCCAGACTATCAAACTTACATTGTTGCCATTTTAATGTGACAGTCAGATGGCCAAAATAGTTAAGTAATCAGGCTGCTCTGATGGAGTTGGGACAAACTTCAGGGATTTTTTATGGGCAGTACGTCCCAGATATATTGGGCCCTGTCCCTCACCACCCAGTTACTCTCATTGTGTGTCTGGAAAAGGCCTTATTAGTGCCCACAAGATAGAAAGAGCTAAAAATGAAAATAAAACAAAAAACATACTTAATCTATCAGTAAAAGATTATATAATACAACAAAAATTATATTCTTTTTATTCTTGTATGTTTTAACACTGTCAGAAAAAATTAATTATTTTTATTTAAATCATAATTAATAATTAATAGTGTTTTTATTTTTTTGAAATATATTCTAATAAAATACTTCTATTTCAGGTAATATGGGTATGTATTGTTTGTCGAAAAAAACAAGAACTGTTAATCAAAACGGGACAATGGGTTCATAGTGGAATGGCTGGTAAACCTTCATTAGTTCAACAAATGGAACTAGATGTTGGTCTTGGGAATGAATCCATTTCCATGAGTCCAACAGTTGATAAACGACCAAAATTAGAACATAGACATAGTGCTGAAAAAGAGAATATTCACCAACAGCATTCTGGTCTTGTACCTGGTATGCCATTTACAGCTAGAAGGGGTTCACTACAGAAAACAAGCAGTTCAGCAGCAAAAGAGTTAAAAAGACAGTTTTCTCAAGAACGTGATAGGGAACTTAGGCCATTAACATCTGAACTTCCTTTGAGGGGAGAAAGGACAGAACATATAATGTTTGAAAAAAGTAATGAAAGACAGATTCATTCTGGTAGTAGAACACATCCATCATCTGAAAGAGGGTCACCTGATATAAGATTTAGGAGAGCAGCATCTGATGAAGGCCCACGTGAAGAAATAAGGCATTACAGAGAAAATGAAAGAGGACGCACCATTCCAAGAGAAGGTGCTCGATCTAGAGAACCTTCTCCTGATCTCCATCATAGAAGAGATTATGATCATGAGGTTGAAAGGAGCAGAGGCCATATTTCAGAAAGAGAACTCATCAGAGATGGAAGGGAAAGAAGTCGAGAACCTAGAGAGTCATCTAGTGAAAGGCATAGATCCCAACAGAGAAGTAATCGTGAATACCTCAGAGATGATTATTCTAGGGACGATCGACGTAGAGATGATGTTAAACATAGAGAAAGTATGAGAGATTTATCAAGACCTGTGGACCGTCTAAGAAATGATACAATCCAAAGGAGGGAGTCTTCTGTTGACAGAAGGCATGGTAGAGAAAGTGGTCATCATGAAATGATTGAAAGGCATTTGGATTATTCTCATGATATGGAATCTTATCCATATAGAGAACCAGCACATGTGAGTGGTCGGCTTAGCAGGCAAGAAGAACAAAGAGACTTAATTCATCGACATAAAGTGCCTAGTGGTATTGATCGGGATATATATGAAACTCATGTGGAAATTATAGGTCATGATGATCCACATTACAGGATAACACCTTTGAGAGAAGTGAGCAGGCGAAACCATCTTGATCCTAATTCTGCTGTCTCTGTCATTGTTGATAGAGGACATAACAGTCGAAGAAAAGTAGAGTCAGTAGTAAGAAATGATTCATTAAGTTCTGATCAATCTGAATGTGTAAGACCACCACCACCAAAGCCTCATAAAAACAAGAGAGGTAAGAAATTACGTCAGAGGTCACTAAGTAGTTCTGATGATGAAATAAGATCAACACCTGAATGTTCCAGCTGTGAAGAACCAGAAATTGAGAGTGAGAGTGTCAGTGAGAAAGGTAAGAATATGGATATGTGTAAGAATAATGAATTTGAAAAAGGAGAGATAATATTAATTCTATATGAATTAATAATGTCATAAAATTATAATAGTATAATCATATATTTATAACTTTCATTACATTACAATATATTTTTTTAAAATAAATTTAAAAGATTCAATTATCTTCATTAACTGTAATTTATTACTAGACTGAAATAAATAATGTGATACAAATTCATTATATTAATATATAAAAATTCAGTTAGTAATTATTTAAACTTCATATGCATTCACATCTAAATCTATTTAAGGGGATTTAATTTAATCAAAGGTAAAAATTATCTTGTAAATAATTTGATATGTGGGGTGATAAAAATTTCAAATCAAAAATAAATCTTATGTTATCAATACAGTCAGTTTCATAAGTCAAGGATAAATTAACTTAAATGCTTATATATGAATTATCAATTTAATTAAGTTATTTTTAGTATAAATGGCATTAAATAATTGTATTTTTGAACTAAATTTACAGAATTGCATTTATTATAATATTTAAAACTTTACATCTATACTTTAGTGTTATCTATATATATAAAAATGAATGTGTGTGTGTGTGTGTATCCTTTATGCATTACCACACCGTTTATCTGATTGCCGTGAAACTTTGAGAAATTGTTTAATATACTTCCGTGAAGGTTTCTGGCGTAGTACGATTGCCATGGAGCTTTGGGAAGTTTTTTAATACACTCCCACGAAGGTTTCTGGCATTTATCCTACGATAGATGGCATGCGTTTACACGAGCATTTGAGCACTGTGTGTTCGATCGATTACAAATTGTGAAGACCATTTCCCCCTTCAAAAAATATCTCTATATATGCATTTATTATTTACGATATTTGTAATAATTTTTGTTTAATTACTTTATTTCAACTTTTTTTTTGCTAATTACGTAATTGCTCGAACTTCGTTAAAACCTTAACTGTATCCCGAACAATAACCGAAGTTGTAGAAGGAAATTCGCCTATTTTACTGATCTAGGGATCCCCCTTTTCCAAATTTTAATATCAACTCAAAATAATTTAAAAAGACAAATTACAATAAAACAGTTTATTATCCAATTATGAGAAATTTCACAACATGCCAAGGAAGAGAGGAAGGAGCAATTAAATAATCAAAATTATAAAGGATTAAAAAACATATATAAAAATGGGGAATATCGCACTTCTAATAATCTCTGCGAGTATGTGGGCTAAATTTAAAGAATCCATGCTTCTTACATGGACAACTGTATGTGGCCAACTTGCATCGGAAAACCTTCTGATTTATTCGTGTACGCACCAGACAGAAAAACAAATAATATCGTGTATCCACAAAGCACTCCAATAAATAAATAAAATTGAAACGACACTTTGAAATGTTTTTTTGGTGAAAATGAATAATAATAAGTTTCAATAAAAATGATAAAATGTAAATTTAATTTTATCATAACGAGTTTGCTTCAATTTTGTTTCTTCTGAGATTGCAGCAATGCATGACGGGTAAGCTAGTAAGCAATAATTTTGCTGGAGAATCTAAGTATCTGGAAATCTGGAGTACTAATCTTCATTTATGATTATAAACAAAAGCACATGTTATCTGGTGATATTTATAGTTAAAACATTTCTGATTGTGGTAGATTTTACAATAAATGCGTAATACTGAATGCAATGATTAGACTTTGTTGGCTTTATATTAAAAATATGTATCATTTAAAATTGAGAAAAATTATTGGTCTGTTCAATATTTTGAAAAACAACATTTTTTCCGAATCTATAATTTGGTTATCATAATGTTTTTAAGAAAATTTATAGAAAATTATCAGTTTTACTCGAAATTGTATGCTGAATCACTTAAATAAAAGATCCAGCAATGAGTTGCTTAACTTTCCTAGCAACATTTAAAACTGTGTGTGTGGTGCCATCTATTATGATATTTTATTATTAAAAACTTTTTATATTTTTAATTATTACAAAATGGCAAAAAGCTTAATTTTCAAGGTAGGGATGAGTTTTATAAAAATTGCAAGTGCTAATAACGAGTAAAATCATTATTAAGTCTGATCCTACTAGATATATACATGATCCCCTTTATCTTCCCATCCCCTCGACCTTCAACCACCAAAATTTAATAGCATCAATCCCCTTGCAATCAATAAACAAACCTTCCTGCAAAATTTCAGAAATTTTCAACGAAAAGCACAGGAGTTTAGCTTCAAATGGGGTGAACAAAATAAAACGCACACACACACACACACACACATCCATACATAAATTACCCCTGAATTTTTTTGCATTTTTCTATGTATCAAGGTCCCGATTCCAAAAATGTAAAAATTTGGAGGGGGGTTATTTTTTGACCGATTGCCATACTTTCCTTCTGTTATATATAACAGCCAGGAAAGTAAAACTCAGTATTCTTAGATTTATTTAGCTGTACAAGATAAGGATTATTGTAACTTTTGATTGTGAGTTATCAGTCTTCATAATATTCAGTACTGCCAACTCCTGATTTACCAGATTGTGGGTATATTGTGGTCAGTGATGGCAGGAATGCATGTGCAAAAGAGGAGTTGTATTGTTTTCAGTAGTACATGTCTAGTTAAATTTAGTTAAGTCTTGATTTTTTAAAGCTGATGATTTTTATAATTTTTATAGTTATGTAATAGAGAGTAATGCCAAGAAATTTTAACTGTAATAATTTTTAATTGTAACTAATGTAATTTGTAAGTAAGATGTATATTTGTTACTACGACAAGCTATCTCAAAAAGTAAAGCCGACAGAAGAGGAGCACATGCCTGAAACAGGTATCGCCCACAAGATATTTCTGAATAAAGAGTGATATCAAAGATGCCCAGTGTCTATCTATGCACCTAGTTGTGACAGAAAAAAACAAATAAAAGAAGACACTGTTTCAGAATAAACAATACTATGGTCTGTGAACTTTCCATTTCCCTGCTAAATCAGGAGTTGACTGTTCTTATGTGAAATGCCAAAACTTTATTGATTACATATTCTTTATTGATTACATATTGTATATACTATCAATAATTTATATTCCTGAAATAAATAAATAAATAGATAAATACACACATCATAGAATAAATTATTTAATTAAATAATGATATACGAAAAATAATTTAATACTAAAGTATGAATATTATTCACTATTTAATATTCAAAGTCAGAGTACATAAAAACATTGATAGTAGTTACAGTGCTGTCTCTTAATAAAAATTATATTTTGTATATAAATTACTGGAAATCATAATCATGGTGTTTTTGAATTATTAAGATTAGTATCAGAAAGATTACATAAGTAGACTGTTCATTATTAATTCAGGTTGTTACAATATATGATTTAGCTTTAACTGAAGAATTTTTTAGTAATGGAATCTTTATAATATATTAATTTTTTAGTTTTTTCTAAACTAATAATTCAGGGTTAAGTTGATGATTGATTAAAAATTTTTAGTTCTAATTCTTCAACAATTCCCTTTTAGTATTGATAGCCTTGCTAATAAAAGTGATATCCAGAGTATTAAATGGTTATATATAAGATATTGTAATAAGAATTCATTAGTAAGATATATAACAAGAACGTATAATATTCATTAGTAAGATATATAACAAGAATGTATAATATTCCTATGAGATATTAATCAGAAAGATCTTTTTTATGAGTACATTGTTTAGCTATTCTGAAGGTTACTATACAACTTAGAATTAAAATCACTTTTTGATAATTTTTGCTGTATTTGGAAAAATATATCAGAAACTTTTAATTCAAATGTCATTTCTAATAAAATAACAATTTACTTCATTTGACAATACTTTTGAAATATGATTCAGAGTTAAAACTATTTTAAAATCCTACAATCAGTCTGTAACTTTTATATTTTATATCATTGTAGGTAAGAAGAGGGAGATGTATGAATAGATAACTTTTATCTTAGAAACTAAAATTATTTATCCAAACTCTGAAAACAGATATTTGAGCTAATAAATTTTTAAAAAATAAATAACTTTGATGTCACCAATTCAGAAAAAAATTAAGAGAACTAGGAAGTAAAAAAAACATGTAAACACTTTCATAAAATAACAGAAAAATATTAACATTGATTTTAATTCTAATTTGAATGAAGTAAAAATTCTTTATTCATCACAAAACATCCAATAAATTATTTATGAACAAGCAATTACTTATTGTGACATCATCACAATGCTGAGCTGCAGTTTTTAAATATATTTTTAATTTATTTAATTTAAAATATATGCTCTCCACCTCAAATTAGTAGTGGCTTGTCCCTGTACATCATACTTTTCCTTTAACAATAGAGTTGTGTCAGTCATCTATCTAACACCTTTCAGGATAAATTTTTGAATTGAAATAACATGACTTCCAGTTTGCACTGGAAATTCATATCATAAGTGTAATTCTTAATTGGACCAAAACCAGATCTGAAGACACTGATGTGGAGTTGAAACGCATTCAGAATATAGTTGTACAGCACGGATATAGTACAAACATGATATACAACTTTTCCTGTGCTTACTCCACACAAATAGCTGTACCTGACACTTCTCGAACACATGTAGAAAAACACGGAACACACAACCTAAATAGCACACATTTGCAAGCTGTGGTTGAGTACAACCACCACCTCAACTCCATTTACAGAGAAGTTGCCTCCTATACAAACACTAAGATTGCATACAAGAGGCCCAGCACTATACAGTCGACCCCCGTATAAGATCATTGATTATTCCGTTTTATATGAATTCCATGTTGTACAAGTCACTTAAATTTTACAAATAAGTGAGCCGTTCACAGCCCAGTACACGTATTTGTAAAATCTAAGTGACTCGTACAACATGGAATTTATATAAAACGGAATAATCAATGATCTTATACGGGGGTCGACTGTATAGGCTACTCTGCAGCAGCAAGATAAGATTGATAAAAAGCTAGCACCAGG